TAGCTTCTCCCCAATACCCTTACCTTGCCCTTGCTGTCAAGCGAGAGGGAAGGGGGGGGGAGGAAGTTGGCAGCAAACAACTATTAGTAAAACCGCGAGACGTCAACAACCGGGAAAGATCTTCTCCAACGTCGCAAGTTTCTCTCAAAGGGAAAGAGGACTCCCTCTCCAAACAACGAGCAAATAAAAACTCCCCCAAACAAGAAAAATCAAAAAAACCTTTTGAAAAAATTTCTTCGACCAAGTGGACTCCCTCTCCAGCGAGGAAATACGACCCTCCCCCCCCCTGCTAGGGATTTCCCAACGTACTACCTGGTCTGATCATAGCAACGCTTCGGCGCTCGCTTAGAACCGAGCACGTTTCACTCAGGGGTCTTTTGGACGATTAATTCCTGTAAGTGAGTATACGATGCTTTCCCAGGATCATAGAAGTGTAAGAAAACCAACTTTTCGAAAAACATACCAAGCACTTTGGAATTTTGTTCAAGATTTCCAGGTCTTTTATTGAAGGAGTTTCTTTTGAAGCCTACTTGCTTCACACTTCATTTCTATTCATTTCTATCACAATGAGGTTCCGGCATATCACAATATTAAGGTATAACAGTTTTGTTTGGAAACATCACTCAAATCGAGCAATATTCCCAGAATGCTCAGCTGTAAGACTTCCAAGGAGCTATTGTAACACTGTAAACATTCCATCAAGATCCCAAATTTGACTAAATTTTTAAAGTGTCTTTGTAGTCATGATTCGTGCAAACGACGGGGCGTGGGAAAGGCGGGACCCGAAGCGCAGCCGGTCTTCCCCGCTCAGGGCACATCGTTGTAGGGGGTCATTTTTGGCACATCGTTGTAGGGGGTTATTTGATCATTTTTGGGAGGGAGGGGAGTGTATTTACGTTTTGGCGTTGTGGGAGTGGCGGTTGTCAAAATTTTTGGTTAAAAGGTACCATGTGCCCTCTCCCCCCCCCCGCTCGACGGCTCGATTCGATGAGGAAGGACAGAGGGCTGGGGGGGGGTCGTACCAACTCCCAAAAAAAAGGGGGGGGTCGTATAGAGTCGACTAAAATCCCCAACCAATGATGTGCCCTGTTCCCGCTAATCGTTGCGGACTCAGGAGAGCATCATTGCTGGGAAAAGGATTCTTGGTAACATTAAAACCACGCCTCGGAACACGGGCTATCGTTCGCAGGGATCATGACTGTACCTGTAAACAACAAAACAATAAATGTAATATTTTGAATGGAAGTCAGGTAGCGTGTATCGTACCTTGCCAAAACGATTAAGTATACGCCCAATTGGTGTGATGTCGAAGAAGATCATCGGTGAGCGAAGAATGTTCTTGAGAATACCCTCATGAAGCAATCGTGAGGCTCCAACCATTCCAAGCGCCATAATTATTGAGGCAGCGCACACGAATAGAGCTGAAAAGCAGGCATTACTAGCAAAATTACTCGAGATACTAACAAGTAGCGAATTCGAAGCGCATCTGCGTGCAGTAACAGTCCAATTGATCTGAGATCGATTATCTTTTTTAATTCTGGAACGAGAAATCTTTCAATATTCAAAGGAAATGACCAACCTTGTCCCACTCCAAGGGAAGCGTAGATTGCTAAGCGAGTGTTCGTTTCGTAGCTGCTTCCATTGCTAGTTTTCTGGATCATTTCCGCGTCATCGGACCACTTTGCTAGCCACAGATTACTGGCCACCTGAAAAAGTACGCCTGTAGCTGTTTCAAACTTTCATACGGAACTTGCTCCTGTAGTGATGAAAAAGGGAGTCGGAGAAGTCAATCGCAGTTGTGCGCGTCGTCACGCGCGGCGCATCGTGCGGCGGTGCGCGGGAACTTATCGGTGCGCGTCAGTTGGTCGAGCAGCGATACTCATGTGAACGTCAAATGGTGGCAAGGCTCAATACCGAGTAACATCAATCTTTTCCTTCTTTCAACATTTAAATTCGAACAGCCAAGGCTTTTGAGTGCCTGGTGCCACTCGCTACGCCCAGCACGACACATTACGATTGTATTGTCAGATACCGGTCGAAGTTGGGAAATTCATAACACATTTGGGTAAGGGGACGTCAAGTTCCATGTAGAAGCACTCTTTTCTGCATTCGAAATCCAGTAAGGTCCTCTTTTTTTGCAGGTAACACGAACAACTCCAATCCCACACCACTCCGGGATGGCGTTAGTTCCCGCAACGCGTCGCGCGCACTGGTCGCTCAACGCACTCTACAGAAAGACGCGGTTGATTGTTGCGAAATTTTTGAAATTCGAGCAAGGCAGCGGGCGCGATCGCTGGACGTGGGCGGTTGCTGCCAGCGTCACTGGTGGAAGGGCTGTGAGAGGGTGTTCGGCCACACCCCACTCAGCCCTTCCACCAATGACGTTGGCAACAGCCGCCCGCCCCTAGACAACTACCTTTAAGTGAATCCGCGGAAACAGGCAAACGTGAGCGACAGGCAAACGAGAACAGCAGCTGCACTTCTCACGCTTGCACCTCGAATCTTTTTTTTCAAAACCACTCACCCCTAGGACACTGCTGAGAATGTAAACGCCGACAAACAGCACTGCAAGATCAAATCCGATAGCTCGAATATACGTCAGATACACAGTCCATTTCACCTGGAATTCGCTCAATTTAGAGGAAATATCACTCAAGGAAAGGTATCACCGAAGTCTTTGAGAGCTCGTCATACCTTCCCAGTTTCAACAGCTTCTTTCTCGACGAGTTTGCTCTTCTGCGCAGTTTTGCTTTCTTCACCGAGGAGAGCAACTTTCTCTTCGCCCTTTCCTACGACTACAGCATGATCTTCTTCTGAAGGGATGACGTTGCCGTTGCTAGTTGGAGAAGGCAATTCCTTCAGCGGTGTAGGACTCTGGAAGCGTTACAAATACGCCCACATAAACTTTAAGCTTGCAATTAGACTTGTGATACTGTGAGCGTACTGCCCTAAAAGTAGTCTAATAGAAGAGATTTAAACCTGAACCACCTTTTCCCGTAGAGGAGAGATGTTGCCCGTTTCCTGACTCAGTTGCGATTCAATGCGTTTTCTACGATCAGGACTTACTTTTTCCATTTCCATTAGGATTTCGGAAACGTCCTCTGCTGAAACACAAGAATAGTTTCCAAGTTATCCAGTCCTATGGGTAATCACAAAAGTAGTGGAGTTCCGTCTAGACAATCATTTTCTCACTTGAGGCAGCTCATTCCAGGCGGAAAGCAGGGGATATATCGCTGCGCCGGCAGTCGCGCAACGACTATGGCGTCACGTAAAAATGCCTACTATAGAGTCCAAAAAATAAAGGACCTACATATTTGGACATTTTTCCAAATGTTGCGGCATTTCTGCACAGAAAACCCAGGGCACCGAAAGCCGCGCCTAATATATTCTTCCATTATTGGGTTAAAGGCAGTTGGCACGATGGTTTCCGCTCGGCCTAAAATGCTAGGGCGCTGTGTAGTGGGGAAATGGCGAAAGAACGGAGTGAAACGGTCAAAATCCGGCGAAGAAAAAGCCTCCGTTCTCAGTGACTCGATTTCGGACGAGTTTCCCGTACAGCATCACGGCCGCTTCATACCAATCCCTTCGCTTCATAATTTGCTCAGCAAATGAATGAATACGAGCGTCAGGAACGGTCGTCCATTTGTGGGCGGGCGGGCGAGGCGGGCGTTTGGGACGGAATGTTGTTGCTCGATAGGGCGTTATAGGGGTACCCTCCTTGGAAAAGGCGCCACGGAGCGCCTGTCCGAGGTCACGGAATTCTGTTAAGCCTTGTTCTTCTTGTTGTTAATAAATAATACATCTGTATAGCGATTTATTGTGCCGACTGCTTTTAACTTGAATATTCCCCTTCTCTGGCTGTCGGCAATTAGAAAAATTTGCGTAAAGGGTAAGTTAATAATATAATGTCAGTGTGGGGAATAAGGTTTTCCTCGCGGTCAAATCCCTTCT